GAACCACGTCCGTCACCGAATGAGGGCCCCCCACACTGGCTGGCCGGAGCCAGGACCCCTTGCAAGGCCAGGTCGCCAGTGGGAGCAGGCGTGCTGGGCTCGGTCAGGTCTCCCTGCCGCTTCCCCCAGGCTTCCTCGGGAGTCCGTTGGTTCGGTAGCATATCTGGCTGAATAAATAAAGGCAGAGTCCCTGGTCGCTGTCCTCGTCCCAGGCCAGGCCAGGCCAGGCCAGGCCTGCTCACTCTCCCAGCATGCTCCCCAGGATCGCAATGAGGTTGTCCAAGCCCCAGAGGTAGCCATCTTCGCGGTTCCCTTCCACCCATGGCAGCCGGTGCGTCAGGGTTTGCCTCTCGGGCAGCGGGACGGTCTTTCCAAAATCGATCATCCGGACCCGGGCCAGGCCGGTTTGGTCGTGGATAAAGAGCAGGGAGCTGCCCACCACCTGGAAGCGAGAGGGGGGCTCAGCAGGGGGCAGGACAGAGGCCCTGGAGGCCCTGCACCAGCTCAGCAAAGGACCCCCCCCCCCGCAGTCCAGCAGGTGCCTCAGAAGGCTTCCCACTCGGGACACCCACCTCGTGCACCTTGAAGAACTCCGACTGCTCCAGCGCCACCCTCGCCTCCTGCAGGCACTTCAGGTAGCTCGTCTGGGGAAGGAGAGCGCAGGTTACGCAGGGGCGAGGCAGGCCCTGGCTGGTGGGGGCAAACCTGCCCGTCCCAGGCCGCCTGCCACGCCTTCAGTGAGGGTGCCGGGTGGCTTCTGGGAGACCTCGGTGTGGTGGTGGAGGTGCCTGCAGCGCCCCAGGCAAGGGCCAAGCCGGGGAGCAACAGATGGGCCCCGGCCGCCCTCGTGTCGCCCTGCCGAGGCCGCCCACCCTCACCAGGACGCGTCTGTCTCTGTCCACGAAGTCCCAGAAGGCCTGAACCACTTGCTCCGGCTGGCGCGTCTTCTTGAAGCTGGTGTCACAGGTGCCGTCGGCTTTCTGGGGACGGATGGGCAGGCAAAGAGAGAGTCAGTCTGGGCCTCTGAGAGCTGCCGGTGGCCGGAGGAAGACGGCTCTGCCCGTGCGGGGAGAACGGGGAGCTGGGCTAGACGGGGAGCTGGGCTAGACGGGGAGGGGCGAGGGGTCCCGGGGCCGCCATGCGGTGGCCCCGACCCGAGCTCCCGCAGCTCTGCTTCAGCCCCCTCCTGGCAGCAGCTGGCAAGGCATCCTGGTGGGGGCCGTGTGTGCAGAGCTGCAGGCGTGGGCCGCCACACTGGTGCGCGTTGGTGCCGCACCCCCCATGGCGTGTGTGCGCGCGGAGGCTGCCGTCCAGTGGCGAGAGCCAGGGCGGCCCCGGCACCGCCCCACATGCGCACATCCCTCCGCCCCCTCACCTTGATGCCCTCGATGCGGAAGCCGAGCGTGGTGGTCGAGCTGAGCGTCTCCCGCCACTGCATGTAGCGCGGCTTCAGGACACCGCGCCGTGCGTGCTCCTCGGCCGTGGGCGCCGCCGGGTCGACGGCCACCATCTTGTCATACATGTCCTCGCGGGGGCACGGCTGCTGCCTCGCCTTCTCCAGTTCCTCCTCCAGGTACGTCCTGCGCAGAGTGAGGGGAGAGCAGCGCAGCCTCACTGGGGGGGCACGCCGGGATGGGGGCTTCCTCCCGGCAGCGGCCAGGCATTCCCAGCGGGCAGGGGCAAGAGGGGCTACCTGGTCCCCATTTTGCAGTCCATGATGGAGGGGGCGTCGAAGTCGCACAGCAGGTCCTCCATCTGGATGTAGGCCTCCCCGTCCTGCTCCACCACGCCGTAGAAGGCTGGCACGAAGGGCTGCAGCGCGTCGCACGCCAGGCGCTCCAGGCACTGCCGCTCGCCGGGGGAATACTTCTTCAGGATGCGCCCAAAATCCCCCGCCTTGAAGGTGCCTGCGGGGAGAGCGGGAGGTGGGACGAGGCTCTCCGTGCCCCGGCGTCTCCCCTCGCGGCACTCGGCTCCCTCGCGGGGGGCTCGGCACGGTCGGGGCAGGACAGCTGGGGCTGCTCGGGGGAGGAGCCGTGCCAGGCGGGATGCGGGCTCGCTCGGAGGTGCGCGTCTCCCCTTGGCCTCCTAGCTCGCGCACCGGGCAGTCCTGCGCGTTCCTGGCGAAGGGGCTTGCGAGGGGCTCTGCCCCCCGCGGCCCGGCAGGAAGAGGCCATCTGGGCGGCGGGAGCCTGCCGTTCGGCGGCAGGGCCCTCCGGCGTTGGCCATCGGTCTCCACTCGCCCCAGTGAAAGGGCCCGGGGAGCCTGCCCCCGCAGGAGCCACGGCTCCGCCTGCTGACCCCTCTCCCACCGCCCCGGCACTGGCGCCCCCAGGAGGAGGACTGCCGTGCCCTCGCAGACCCGGAGCCCCTGGCCCCACACGCACCTGCATGGCCAGCAAGCTGCACCCAGGGGTATCGCTTCCGGAAGGACACGACGCACGGGGACCAGTGCACCATGCTCTTCAGCTTCCTCCACGGTTGAGTCTGAAGACCAAAGCAGAGGGAGGGCACGGTGAGCAGCGGGGGAGCCCCCCTCCCCAGGGGCAGCACAGACCAGGGCCTCCGACGCGTCTCCCACCACCCCACCTCGCACGGGAACCGCCACAAGCGAGAGGCCCGGGGGAGGGGGCCCAGTGGCAGGACATGGTGGGGGGCAGGATTCTGCACCTCCCGGGAGTGCCGGGGGTCCTGTTCTCTCCGAGTGCTGCGACCAAAAAGCCCCAAGCCAGGAGCGCCGAGCGGGCCTGGAAGCCCGGCGCTTTGCTGCCCCGGCCCACAGGCAACAGGCCCCCAGTGCCCAAGCGCCGCGCCTCACAGGAAAGCCTCCCCACCTCCGCCAGCAGCAGAAGCCGCGGCCGGTGCAGCTTCCGCGACTGACACAGCGTGGGGCTCTGCAGCTCAGCCGAGCTCGGAGGCGAGGCCGTGCCAGGCCTGCCACACACACCTGTCCGTGCCACCGCAGGAAGGGCGGACCAGTGGCGCTCGGCTGTGCTCAGAAGCACCCTCAGCCTGGAAATGCCAGGACTGTCCAACGTCCAGCTGAAAAAGAGCGGGTGGCCGGCGTGGGGCTCTTCTCCCTCGCCTGGGCCAGTCCGTTCCACGGCTCGGCTGTGGCTCAGGCCACATGCCTGGGCAAGGAAGGCGCAGCGGCTGCCAAGCCACAGGGGAGCCCGGCCTCGGGGCCGAGCAAAGTTCAGTGGCAGCGTGGCTTCCAGGACCGGGGCGCCGATCCAGCAGCAGCTGGGCGAGGCTTCAGCGCTTCCAGGCGCATGGCGGGAGTGCCTCTCTCCGCCAAGAGGCGAGGCCTGATGCTCTGCCCGCAACGCTCTCTGGCCCCAGCCAGCACAGCCAGGTGCGGCGGCCACCGCGTCCCGGGGGCACCAGCAGCCCAGGGCGCTGACGGCCGGGATCCGCCTGCTCGGCGGCTGCGTGGCGAGCAGGGCTCAGGTTCCGGCACCGCCTGGGCGCACGGCAGGCTCCAGGCATGCTGCAGCACTCACAGTCTGTGCATCGGCGAGGGGCCCCCAGGCCCACGTGATGCACGCGGCAGCCCTCCCCCGGCAGCCCGGCCCCCGTAGCACAGCCGGCAGGCTGGAGGGGAGGACGAGGGTTTCACGGGAAACGGCAGCCGCCACCGCGCCAGCACCTCCCCCTGCCCAACAGGTCCGGCTGGTCGCCACGGCAGGCTGCAGGCCGCACCAGGGAGCGCGGGTGCCGGGCTTCCCAGCTGCCCTTTTGTCAACAAAGGGCTCCCGTGGCCAGCCAGGGGGAGCGAGAGGCAGCCGCCACAGCGCCTGTGAGACTCGGTGCTTCAAGCCCTTCCCAGGGCCTCGCATGACTCCCTTTCCAGCGTCACCACGGCCTCCGCGGCCCTCTCACTGGTGGGGGCAGGCTGGCCCTTGAGCACCAATTCTGGAAAGGGAGGGCTGCGGAAGCCACACGGCCCGGCACAAGTCGGGGGCCCCAGAGGTCCAAGAGAGACGGGGAGCACTCGGGCCCCACAGAGACTTCCCGCTGCCGGCAAAGGCCTGCCCGCTCTTCCGGAGAGCAGCTGGCTGTGCTGCACCAGCATCCCAAGGAAGCACTTCCACCTCCACGGCCAAAGCTGGCCGTGGCAAGTGGCGCACGTTCCCACAACCCAGCTGAGCAGCACTCCGAGTGCCACGCACACTTGGGGCGGGCAAGGGGGAGGGAGAAGCAGAGGGCCTGGAGGAGGAATTTTGTCAGCCTCCACATCAATTTTCAGGGTCAACTCCTGTCACATCTAGACAGGTCCTCTAATCAGGATAAGGTCGTCTCTGCACATGGGCAGAGTACACACTGGCAGATAACCACAACTGGCCCCGACATGTAGAAAGCACAACATTGAAGCCAGACAGTGGCAACCCAGTCCGTGGCCAGCTGCAGCTTCATGCAGACCACCCCGTCCGACCACCCCAGAGGCACGGTTCAGGCAGATGGGCAGTGCCTGGGAGCTGCCAAGTAGTCAAGGCACTGGTCCCTCGGGCCGGCACTGCCGGCACTGACTGGCAGCCGTGGCTCTCCAGCATTTCAGGCAGAAGCCTTGGGTTCCTTGCCCCGCCGGCAGCTGCCGCCCGCCCGCCCGCTCAGCCAGCAAAGATCGGCCACGCCGGAGATGCTCCAGTCCCCTCTCTGCCCTGCTGCTCTCCAGACAAGCTGGCCATGGTGGGGGGAGGCTTCTGCCCCCCCGCCCTGGCCACAGGCCCGGAGGAAGGCAGTCGGCGCGCAAGAGGCACTCACCCGACAGGCGCCCCGTCCGGCTTTCTCATGGCCTGCCCGGGCCCGCTGCGCGGAGAAGCCCCAGCTCCCGAGCCGGGGGAGTGTGCGCATGCTCGGCTCCAGCCGCACAGCACACACCGCGCGGCGCTGGCTCTTCTCTCACCGCTCCCCCTCGGCATAATATTTATGACGCGTGAGGCCCTCCCTTTTTCTGAAAGGGGGGCAAGGCAGCCGCGGTGATGCCAGCAGGTTTCCCGGCAACCGGGGATCTTGTGCGTAATTTTCCATGACAGCGAGCGGGGGGGGGAGCGGGGGGAGGAAGGACCCAGCAGGTCTGTCGCAATTGAGCGCCAGCCTCACATCTCCGGCTGACGAGAGGCAGGATCCGTTCAGCCTCGGCTGGGCCAGAGCAGGGTCGCCCTGCAAGATGAACTTACCTGGAGAGCGCCCCCCACCCCCCCC